ACAATCTAGAATTGCCTCAACACAAATTAGGACGAAATCACAAAAGGGGAAACTGCTTGGTTGTGGAGTGGTTTGTTCGTGGTGGTAGTGGGAGTTAGTGTCTATCAATGAATATGAGATGATATGATGACTATATGAGATGAAACAATAGTTGATTTGAGATAGGAGATGAGTTGAGTGAAGTGAGTGTCTCAAAGTGGAAAATGAAAATGAAATGAGGAAAGTGAAAGAATATGCGTCTGTGTGGACAACTAGCAAACACATGATACTCCAAACTTTTTTTAACAAAAATAGACTGCGAGTTGGTCCGACAACTTAATGGAATGGGTAGACTGGATTAGATTGGGTTCACAAACTCAAAATTCTATCACAACGTGAATCTTTTGAATGGATTGATATGCTAACTTGTCGAACCAATTCCATTTTTTCATCCCTAATTGTTTAGTTAGCAAAGTGTTTATTATATTCCATAAATATTCCTTTATTTATTATTTTAAGATAATATACACATTAAGAAAATTTTAATTATATATCCTTTTTCATAAGAATCCACTAAGAGATTCTCATAATTATAAATCAATTAAATCTCAAAGAAAACGTTGATAAATAAAAATATTATCAAGACGTAAGCAATGCACTTTTTATTGACTTGTTCAAAAAAGCTAAACATGTGGGAAGTGAAGTGTGGTGAATGGCATAGACTGATAGGGCAAGAACATGCTCCGTTAAAACATGCTCCTTCCCAAACATTCGCCGTAATTGACGCACCTATCTCTCCTCACAATGTGGGACTACTTGCCACTTAATTTCTTTCGTTATTTTTCAAAATTCTTTTCATAATACCCACTAACATTTTCGCATAAACTCATATTTTATGCTTTTATTATACATTAATTCCATCTAATTATTTCACATTTGCCGTAATTGATAGACAGAGGAAAATAGAATAAAAAATGGTTACCCAACATGTAAAAAGAAATAAAGCCAAAGTTTTGTTAAATATAAATAAAGATGACAAATAGATATTAGAAAAAATAAGTAAAAATAGTACAACAATCTCTCTATTTAATAAAAAATCATTTTTTTCACTAAAAAGTAAAAATTTTACCCTTCCTTCTGATGACCAGACAAACTATGAAGTAGAAAGAAAAAAGTGTGTATATGTATCATCAAAGAATAAAGCATATCACATGAGTTCGACAACACATCTTGATCTAAAGTTTTATAACGTATTTAGAAGTAGATTTTTGTCTACAAACTGTTTCATAATTTGTTCATATTCTTAACTCAATTCAGAAGCTACATTTTCCACTTTTAATTTAATAAACATTTTGGCTGTAAAAACATGTTTAAGTCTTAACAAGTACCCAGACTGTTGCCATTACTTATACCTTAACTTCTAATATCAAAGTGAAATTCAAGTTTAATTTTTTCTCTCTTCTTCACTTTTGAATTTCCATTGGTTTTTTTTAGTTTAGTAGTATTGTTAGTAAATGGTCTTAGAAAGAATTAATTTGGGTGAAGAATGAGATTTTCTTTTATTTGAAAAGGTGAAGATAAAGTGAAATGTAGTGATTAAATATGGTCCCAGATGAGGAAAAAAATGGTTGTCATAATAATTATCAATATTTAACCCACTTTTATGTCAGGATATTTGGATGCTTGGTTACCATAAAAAACTAATCATTTTCTTCAATTGCTTCTTTAATTTCACTTCTACATTAAAAGTGAAGTTGGACTTACAATATAGAATCAAACTATGTGGATTTATGATTTATATTCAAGTTGAAATTACTCCGTGTAACTTTATTTTTTACATTAGAATTATAAATTGTAGACTCTAAATGCCAAATCAAATACTATTTGTATTGTACTGGTCTTTTTTTCAATTTTAATTTCTACCATATTCCCACTGGCAACTTTGTCCTATGTTTAGTCTGAATTTGATGTACTATGTTATATAAGACAATCACTTCTCATATTGATGCATCTTCCAATTTACGCCAATTCTTCCTGTATGAGAAAAATGTGAATGATAAGCCAAAAACTGCAATGCCATTTCAACTACCACAGTTACTGTCATCTCCATAACTGGCCATGTGACTTTGATATTTTTATGGGGAGTTGTTGAACTTTGCCTTTGGTGATCCAAGTTAGTAAATTCCCCCATGTGAACTTATTTGATGTAAAAGTTAGAAGCCATTGTTTTCCATTTGAAGGGATTTTCACAATGATGCAAATGCTTGTCCCTAGGAAGAGTTATACAGTGAATTTGGATAATCCTTGAAAGCCTCATTTTTTTTCATTCTCTTTGGGTCTTCTGCTTTTCATTTTGTTCATCTCAAGTTTTGCTTTTTCTGAAAATGATGAAATCTCCATCACAAGCAACATTTGAAGAGTGTCACTTTTATGACTATGGATTTGATCTGCAACAAGACTTTTGCCAGGTATTAGATACTTACTTCACTGTTGGTTCTTGAATTTTAAATGTTGCTCTTTGTGCACTCGTTAACAAATGAGACAATGACAGAAAATATGATGTTGTATATTATGTTATGGTTTTTTTATGGTTTTGACTAGTTCTTGGAGGAAGCAAAGCAACATGGAAAGGAAGCAAAACTAAAGAGTTCATCGGTGTACCCAGAGGAATCTAGGAAAGCAGGATCGGAGAAAGAAAAAAAGGGGAAGAAATCATGGAAAAGTTCTCTGACTTCATGGTGGAAATCTGATAGGAAAAGCAAGCATGGTGAAAAAACCACCAAGAATTCTAAACCAAGGGGTGGTTCTGGGAAAAGGCATGCTTATTCTTCTGGTCCAATGTATAAGTCCTGCAAAAGTTCTGATGGAAAACACTGGCGTCCTTCATCTGGTCCTCTTGTAAGCCTTTTCAAACCTACAAAGAGAGAGGAAAATGAGATACCCTATATTTCTCTCCAACAACAAAATAATAGCCCTCTTGCTGATCAGAACTATGGACCCCTCTATGTGGTCACTTGACTTGTGATCACTGGCACAGTTGCAGATTGTGGTGACACAAACTTCACTGAGAAAGGCTTTCTAATGTGTTTGGTTGTCTAGAGAATTTTGCTGGCCAATGTAGTACAACAACTTTGAGAAGAATTTTATGTTTCTGGTTTTGAATGAGTTGTATTTCCTCCTTGTTGGATTTGATAGTGGACAAAGGTAGTTCAAAATAAGCAACCTTTGTTCCTTGTTCTAGAAACTCATCCTGTTTCCAATTTATAATTTTCAAAACAGTTATAAGTAATGTTATGAGATTGCTGAAACCATTACAGTATTTATATATTATAACACAGCAGTAGCAAAATGCCCTTCACAGACAAGTTTCATTTATAGTAAGGATGCTAGTTTTTATCTTGCTTAATCAGGAAACCAAAGAATAAAAACTATATGCACAGTCATGTAATTCTCTACTTGCCTAATTTCCTGAGAAATTTGAAAAAACTCTCTTTTTCCTAACATAGTTTCTTCCTATCCTTTTCCACCCTCTTTTGTTTTATGTTCTTAGTCAATGTTCCTTTTTACATTCTAGTTTTCAAAGAAGCTGTTCCATTCTAGCATGTAGGTGGAAGAGGGATTTCTTACCTGCTAAGGTCTTACTAGTTCAGATGTCATTAGGTAACAAAGTGAAAGCACAGAATCAGACAATGGCTTTGACAAAAAGCATATTTTGCTGCAAAAGCCTACAAAACGCTATGCTTTCAACTCTTTTCTGCTACATATAAAAAAGATAAATTCTATTCTCTGATAGGAGAGAAAAGGGAGATAAGAAAATGAACAGAATGAGTAAAATTGAATTGGTAAAAAAAAAATATATAGCAAGAAAAGAAGATGTAAACATCACCCAACTTTCAAGACCCCCCAAATGTCAATCTTTTCCCAATGTTCATGCCACTAAACTATGTGTGAATCCATGAACTGGTTTAAGCATGCCAAAGAAATGGGGATGACCATGGAAAAAGGGCCTAAAGGGATGATGGACAATAAGTGAAGAGGCAAAAAGTAGAAAAGCATTGGGAAGAAAAGTGAAAAGGCATTGGCCATGCCATGGTATGTATGAAAAGGAAAACATGATTGAGAAAATTTAGGATTTGTGCCTGCCACTATCTAGGCAACTGAACTAAGCAGAATATTTGTCAATAAAACTTCTTTGTCGGGTTTGGATAGCTTGATCAAGGGGCTAACTAACCAACCGAAAGTGGACTACTACCTTAAACATTAGCTTATCTGTTATATTCACAGTGAAATGCCCAATTATTTGGTAAAGTTTCAACCTTTCATCAAGCACAAAAGGATCTACTGGTAATTTCCCTGATATAAGAAATATGAACACTCCCTTTCTCCTTTGAAAAAATCGGGTTATATGTCATATAAAGATTACTCGAGACCATAAACGCAATGATCTTGAAGTTCTTAGTAATTTATTCTTCTTTACCCCTTTTTATTGCCTCCTTTTGGTACTAAGATGTGAATTAATACTTATTTTATCAAATATTGGCCATACTTTTTGGGCTCCTTTTGGTAGAAAGATTTAGATTAATGTATATTTTATCAAATCCTGATCGTGGTTATAGCACCATCAACATCATCTCGAGTTATGGATAGTTATGGATAGTGTTGACAATAGAAAACATGTTATTCAAATTATACTATCAAACCAGTAACAGTGAGCCTCTGCTATTTGCAGCAATCGCATTCCCAACACTGTTCACATCTGAAAATTAGAAAAACGTACTCTCTATTCATAATAGGGTCTGTTTTTTTGTTTATTCTGCAAATATCAGTTGCATGATTAATTAGATAACCGCATTTTATTTCATCAAAGAAAAAATGTTGTCGTGGGGTCAAACTCAGTCATTGTATTGCATTCACCATTTTATATTTAAGATATAGTTAGCATTGGATCAGGCTAATTGCAGGGAAGGATCAAAATTAAGTCAACAATACTATAAAGTTCAGCTTGTGCAAAAGAAACTGGGTCATTTTCCCCTTTTACTGGGAAGAAATTTGTCATTTATACAATATAAACATTTCAGACAAATTGGCTTAATGTGCTTCAAAGTTCAAGCACAGACATTAAAAAAGAAGGAAAAAATGATTGTATAACGAGATACTGTATAGCAACCATCCTCAGCCATTTATGTGCACTAGTATTGGAAAGGAAGTGGCAGACCAATGACTCTTTGAGAGCCATCTCTCATGAAAAACTCTTCTAAAAATAATAATTAATGATTCCATCCACAAATTTCTAGCTCTGTACTTGTTCCACATCTACAGAACTTGGACTACAAGGACTTAACTTTTTGTCCCGGCTCAAAAGCCTCTTAAATGACCTCAATGTGACAGCCATTGGTGATTTCACCTCATCTTCAACACACCTACTTCCAGAAGGGGATAGAGAGGAGGAAGTGCACTCACTTGGAATATCAATCACCAACATTCCATGACATCTGCCATTAACATTGCCACCATCTGAAGAAGAAGAAGGTGGTGTAGATGATGGAGGAGAAGTTGGCTGCTGAGAACTACCTTCTTCCTCTTCCAAGGAAACCCCAAAAGAACTAACTTGTGTGTGGTTCCCCCAAACCAACACATTTGTGGGAAAAATTGAAGACTGTAAACCATTCATAGCACCTGAATTCTCTTCAATTGATGATGATGATGTTTCAGTGTTCCCTGAGAAATCATTCTCTTGACTTGTTTTAGAAGATTCATAACCAACAGGGTTCCTACAAAGAGGGCAAGTGGAGTGCGAATGGAACCACATGTCAATGCAATCCACATGAAACCCATGATTGCATTTCGGCAAAAGCCTGGCCTTTTCCCCTTCAATAATCTCAGAGAGACAAACTGCACACTCCAAACCTTCTTTGAAGTTCTCCGGTTGGAACACCAACACTGGCAAGGACTTTAAAACTGAAGGGTCAAGCCCAACTTGGTGACTCTCATAGACCACCGGGTCTTGCCCGGGGGCGAAGACAAACCGGCGGCGCCTCCGCCGCCGCTGGCGAGGCTGAGGGGCGGCGCTCTCCCCCATGTTCCACCAGAACCATTTTGCATAGAGATGAAGCACAAGAACAAACACAACCACCATGAAAAGGAATATTATAGCCACCACCATGACCTTCCCAGTTATCTCAATCGTATCAGATTCACCGAATGAGTTGTCATCAGACACGGCGGTCGGAGTTGAACCCATGTTCAAAAACCGAAACTTTCTGATTCAGGTGAAGGTTTAAACACACCCAGAACACAGAATTAGTCTTGAAATTATGGGTTTTGAAGAGAGACCGAAAAAGTTTAATGCTTTGTATAGTCAGAGTGTTGGAATGGGAATGGTAAACAAGAGTGAATAGAGAAGGAGAGAAGTTGAAAAATGGGTTTGACACTTTGGCTTGTAAATGTGGTTTGAGATAAGAAGTTAGGAAGGTGAAGGGAATAAGAAGACTTCAACTTTGGAACAAAGGAGGAAAGAAGAAGAAGGTGATGGATTTGGAGTCAATAGTCAATGACTTAATTACAGACAAAATTAAAATTTAATTTGATTTCATTACAATTATTTAATTAAATAAAAAGAAAAGATGGATTCAAAATTGTGGCTTTATTCAACTGCTTCTATCCTACCAGATTGGTAGGACTTGTTTGTTTGAAACTATTAACTTTACCTTTTATTTATTGTTAGAAAGACTTTGAAATTATAAAGATAACTTCTTTGCTTTTCCCCTTTGACCCGTCTATTGAATTTAACCACTAATGACTCAGATTCAGATGTTTAACTTCCCAAATGGGCACACAAAAATTGCAACTTTGGATCAAAAAACATAAACTTGGATAGATGTTTCTAATGTTATCTTTTGTTGTAATTGAAGTTTTATTTTCACAACAATATTTGTTGATATTTAGTCAAATTTTTTATTGTGTAGATTATGGAAATAAAATTTTATTTTGAAAAAAAATTACAGAAAAAATACTTATGAAATTATATATATATATATATATTGAAAATGAAATTGGATCCAACTGAAAAAAGATTCAAAACTGCTCATAATGTTTTGTATTACTCGCAAGCAAGTTGTTGTTATTCCATTCTCTGGAATGCTGTATATGTAGAATTTTAAGCTACACTTTACCTAAATTTTTGACCTTTAAACTCTAAAAATTGACCCGAATTTTGGACACTATAAACCCTAACATTTAAGGTAGTAATAGTAACTCTTAGCATTCTACAAATGAAAAAAAAAATATGCAAACTTTAAAATTTGCTGAAAAAAAAAATGAGTGTCTAATGTGCAAATTTGGCTTCTTCTTTTTTCCTGGGACTTTTTCTTCATCACGGATTATAATTATTTTATTATTATTATTTTAATTTAATAATTTGAAAAAAAGTGTCGTACTCTTCACCTAACTAACTATTTTAGTGAGGGTTGTTTCAAGGCACATTCTTCGTGTTAAATAAGTCAAATTCATATTGAAAAAGTCAAATTAAAATAAAGAGCATCTTTGACTATAAGTTGTCAATTATCACTAAATTTACCAAGAGGAGAAGAAAATTGAAAATTATGCTTTCTTAAAATGAAATAAAGTTAAAGACATTAATTATTTATAGCTATATTAATAATAATATATTATTTCAATTAATGTATTTTCATATACTTACTCTCAGTATAGCTGTTAATTATTTAAAGCTATATTAATAATAATATGTTATTTCAATTAATGTATTTTCATATACT